CCCTCTTCCCCGTCATCAGCATCACCCCCCTTCTCCTCTGCCATTGACATCCCGATCCTTGTCCTCCGCCACCACCCTCCTCCTCCTGCTGGGCCATCGCCATCCTCCTCCTCCTCCTCCTCCACCACCACCATGGCCATTCTCGTCTCGACCTTTTCCTCCTCCACCTCCTCTCCCGCTATCATCATCGTTTTCTTTTTTCACCTTTTGTTTTTCCCATCGCCCTTCGTACCCACTGCCCCCTTCGCCTCCTCCTCGTCCTCCTCCACTGCCATTGCCATCCTCCACCTCCTTTTTTCTTCTTCCTCCTCCCACTATCTTCTGCTACTTTTTTTTCACCTTTTTCTTTTTTGCTCATCGTCCTTCCCCTCTGCTGCCTTCTCCTCCTCCTCCTCCGCCGCCGCCATCACCCTCCTCCTCTTGCATCATCCTCCTCCTCGTCCGCCTGGTCCTCCTCCTCCCCTGCCATCGCCCTCCTCCACGTCATCGCCATTCTCATCCTCCGCCTCGTCTTCCTCCCCCCCTCACCTCCGTCGTCATCTGGAAAGCATCTCGCAACCCCTATTCACATTCCCCAACCCGCGCCCCCTCCTCCCCCATTCCCGCGTATATGACACAACCCTTCCTGACTCCCCTCTTCCCCTAAGCGCTAGCATGTTGCAAGACCCCTCACCTCCCCCCCATCCTGCATATATGACATGTCCTTTCTGAACTCCCCTCTTTACCCAACCGTTAGCTTGTTGCTCTCTCTCTCTCTCTCTCTCTCTCTCTCTCTCTCTCTCTCTCTCTCTCTCTCTCTCTCTCTCTCTCTCTCTCTCTAGAGTGTGCGCGCATGTGCGCACCCCCTGGTTGTAGTAATGCAGTGTGTGCGCTCGGCCGTTGAAACTCGGGTCCGTCCTTTTGTTTTTTCCTTCCGTCGCCCTTACCTCCCGTTGCCCGTGTTACTGCCCCTTCTGATGACCCGTCCAAACATGGACTGAAACACACAGCTGATTTCTAAGTTTTGCCCATAGACTGAATGCCCTGCTGAGTTTCCCGCTTGCTACTAAGTCTGTGTGTGCACGCTTGCTGGACTGCATGTCTGTCTGAGTGCTGGTTGGTTTGAGTGTGTGTGTGGCCGTGCCTGTCTGAGTGCCGATTGGCTTTTGTGTGTGTGTGGTCGTGCCTGTCTGAGTGCTGGTTGGCTTGAATGTGTGTGTGGCCCGCAAGGGCACTTGCTCGTTCATTGGGCCCTCAGGGCCGGTACTTACCTGTGGCCGTGACATTGAGGGATGGCAGCAGGAAAAACACTCAAGTAGAGGGTAGGCCGGTACCGCACCATGAAGGGGTAGATGTGCGGGTACTGGAGGCCGAGCAGAAGAAGACAAAAGGTCTAGGCGAATACCAGTCCAACCAGTCTGGGTCTAGGGCCTGTACGGGCAATATCAGAGTCTGCAATGATGTTTCCCTCCGAAAGGGAGGAGGTACCGGTTGCTTGGAAGGCCGAGCCGCCTGGAAATCACCGCCCAAAGAGGCAAGCAGGCCGCTATATCTCCCAGCCGGGCGAAGAGCCCGGCCTCTTTTTCGGTGTGCAAGTTTGGCGACACACTGGTTGGAGCACTATTTGGAGCAGCGCTATCCAAGAGCAGCGCTGCTGGGGGAAGGAGAAGGACACGGAGGAAGAAGAAGGACAGGAAGGGGGAGGAGCACCAGGGGTACTTACCTGGCTATGGTGGCAGTCATCTTCATCACCTTGGTGGGCGCTGCAGCAGGGAGTCCCCAACTGGGGAGAGCTACACCAAGAAGCTTCAAGGCAGGGTCAGGCATGGCGGCCTGAGCTAGAGCAGCCATAGCTGCTTTGGGTTGTCCTTTGGGCATCTGGGCAAGGCCTAGTAGTCCGCCATAGCCTCGGCCTATGAGAGTGAAGAGTGGGAGAGGCGGCCATGGCTATGGTGGACCTCAAGTGATACCTGCAGTAGAAGAGGAACTCGGACAATGATTCTGGATCAGCTATTCAACATTGTATTATTATTTCTTGTATGAATAAGAGAAGGGGGAGATGAGGAGGAGATTGTTGGGCGAAGAAGAAGAGCCTTGTCATTTGTCTGTGCTGGTGTACATCCTCTTCTTCTTCTTTCTCACTTCTTCTTCTTCTAATAATCCTCTCTCTCTCCTCTCAATTTCATTCATTTCTTTCTGCAATTGGATGGCATTGGACTATCTGATGGATGTGTATCTCGAAATTGGTCAGGATCAATTACCCGCTACTTGAGTGTTTTTCCTGCTGCCCTCCCTCAATGTCACGGCCGCAGGTAAGTACCAGCCCTGAGGGCCCAATGAACGAGCAAGTGCCCTTGCGGGCCACACACACATTCAAGCCAACCAGCACTCAGACAGGCACGACCACACACACACTCAAGCCAATCAGCACTCAGACAGGCACGGCCACACACACACTCAAACCAACCAGCACTCAGACAGACATGCAGTCCAGCAAGCGTTCACACACAGACTTGGTAGCAAGCGGGAAACTCAGCAGGGCATTCAGTCTATGGGCAAAACTTAGAAATCAGCTGTGTGTTTCAGTCCATGTTTGGACGGGTCATCACACCCTGGTCTCCTCCACCACCTTCTCTTCCTCCTCCCACTATCATCTGCTCTTTTTTTTCCATCTTTTCTTTTTCGCCCATCGTTCTTCCCCTTCGCCTCTCCTCCGCCATCATACGCCCGGTCATGTTAGCTGCATATGGAGCGTCGTCGGAACGACTGCCATCCTCCTCCTCCACTGCCGTCGCCTCATTATCATGTTCTTCCTTCCACTATCAAGGGATCGCAGGCCGGCTTAGTGCTGTGCGTGCGGCATTCAGTGATAAAAGGAAGACGGGGTTTTAAGAAACAATCTCTCTCTCAACAACGTGCGTTTGTGTGTTGTGGGCGGGTGGGTGAGTGTACCTCTGTGTGTGTGTGTGCGTGCAGGTAGTCGACGTCGGGCGTAGAGAGTGAAGTCGAGCGCAGTAGCGTAGAGTTGCATCATAAATAGAACTGCCCGGTAAACCGTAGGCAGAGAGGGAGAAGAGGACAACAAACGAGGGGCTGTGACAAACTGTTTCGTCGGAGTTTCACCGACTC